TCGAGTGAGTTGTTCTTGAACGAGCTGACTCAGCTCGAACTGCCCTGTTGGAATACTTTACCGGTTCCAAAACGGAATAAAGCAGAGCAAAGCACTCTAATCCCAGCAGTGGTCATGAAGTTGTCGTGTCCTCGGTTCCAATATGCTGCGATCACTCGCCATCACAGATAGTGGATTAGGGTTTTGCATATAGATGACAAGGTTCTGAGTAACTCGATAGTGAAGAAAAAAGCAGAAAAAACATGCCAACTGCCCCAACTAGAACCCCATTCAGATCTCAGTTTGTCCAGTGAAGTCCATCTTCAACATTAGGCCCTCTTCCGCACTGCTGATTCCCCGATGAGAACTCTATGAACCGTACAAGTGACGATTTTCATGCTTTTCGTCCTGCAGCTTCTTTTTTTCACTGAAAGGTGGGCCTTGAAGGCGGAGTCTGGAGGCGGAGTCACTGGAAAAAAGGAGGAGCCACTGAACCTATATTGCGCTACAGCGCCCCTCCCATAGAATTTTTTGCCGCGAAACCGGTACAAGGTTGTTCGTCGCGGACCACACTACCCTCCCAACGCCATATTTTCGACTGTATACCTGATCGCGGACCGTACCTTTGAGTAATTTGCTGGTATTTTTTTCAGTCTGATCTAACAATTATGAATTGATGCAAGAACAAAGAAAAGACGCTTTGAAAGTAATGGAACAACGATACAAACCTCGTGATCACTTTCCATTCGTTTCCTGTACATTACGTTAGCGGCGTGCATCATTGTGGCAATATTGGGGCCATTTTGGGAGCGCTTGTTCACCTGAAATTTTCATGACATTGTTCACATACTCTTTCTATGTTCTGGAGTGGTGCCAAACAATCCACGCATCATTTTCATACTTGTTGCAAGAATTATAGCAGAAAGAATGTTCAGAAAATGCGCGGACTGTGGAGGCGTCGGCGTATGTGGCTTGGAGAGAAATTTGCCGTGGTGGGCGAAAATTTTTCCCGATTGGTGTACTATATACCCCCTCCCTTCGCTCGATCGCTCGACAGTAAAATTTTTGAAAAGAAGTAGGAAAATTCTCGGGGAATTCTGGAGAGGGTGGGGAAAATCTAGGAAATTTTCTCGTTTTACATTGGCTATATACCCTCCCCTCCAACGCTCGGCGGAAAATCTTTGGGTGAAAAAATGGAAAATGTGGGAAATTGTACGTAGGTGCTGCTGGGGACGGGGGCGGGGTCGTACCGAGAACCTCATTTGAGGTGGGGAGGGTCGTGCTGACATCCTCGCTCGAGAGGGAGGGGGTCGTACCTACGCCACCATCTCACACATCGCGATGCTTACCTGGGCACGTCATGCGTTGTGTAAATCACAACGTGGTCGTACTCGGCCGGTGAGAAGGCCGTAGTATTTTGTTATGAGAACAGCCCTTCTGGGAATTGATTTCCACCGTTTCACGCTACGCACCTCGAGGGAGGTTACCACTCACTGCCTCACTGCCTTGTTTGACAACAATGTTTGAATTTTGGAAACGTCCTCGTAAGAGGTTAAAGGCACGGTCCGCGATCAGGTATCGAAGTTGAAAATATGGCGTCAGGAGGTTAGAGTGGTCCGCGACGAACAACCTTGTACCGGTTTCGCGGCAAAAAATTCTATGGGAGGGGCGCTGTAGCGCAATATAGGTTCAGTGGCTCCTCCTTTTTTCCAGTGACTCCGCCTCCAGACTCCGCCCCTAATGACCGACTTCCAGTGAAAATGAGATTGCAGGACGAAAAAGCATGATAATCGCCACTTGCGATCGTAGAAATCTTATCGGTGAATCAGCCGTGCATATGAGGGCGTAGTTTTGGAGATAGAGTTGATTGGGCACGTACAAACTGGGATCGAAATGGGGTTCTATCTAGGGCAGGTGGCATGTTTTTGTGCTTTTTTTTTTCACAGTCGAGTTACTCAACCCCTTGTCGTCTATATGGAACCCCCTAATCCACCATCTGAGATGGCGAGTAATCGCGGGTTCTTCCTTTAAGTAGGTTGTGAAGGAGGTCTGAATTGTTACTCAGCAGCTCGTTCTATACTAGTCCTACGAAGCAGATTTCGTTCAAAATACATTTCCTCATATGTTTCGTTTTCAATAGCAAATGATTTGCAGTACCAAGAAGAAAACTGCAGCCTCACAAATGTGCGGCTGAGATTCCTGAAAAAGTACTTTCCAAAGAAAGGATGCGTTGCTTTGGCCAGAGCGATTCAATAGGACATCTGCAGTAGGGTATAGGCCTATCATCAGATCAGCAACGAAGAGGTAACCATATATGCTCAACTGGATCCATCTGCGATATGAAGCTGAGATATGTAGTGGTGTTCAAATGGGCGAACGTTCCCGTAGGACTCGTCAGTCAACAAAAAAAATGCAGAAGTGAATGTCTTCAATGAGACGGCTCTACCAACGGACCCCACCCCCTTTCAATGCTACTCTTCCGGTAGAACCGGTTCACTGAAATGCGGACTTGAAGGCGGAGCCTGGAGGCGGAGTCACCGGAGCGCCTCAGCGCCTTTACCTTACAACTTTCGCTGCAAATCTCGTACAAGCTCGGCAAATGCAAACCACTTTGCTTTTCCAACGTGATCTCTTACAATCCCAGAGGTCATCACGGGCTCTCTTTAAGTCTTTATTTCATAGTAATATCGGACCTCGGGTACATGCTCATCATGATGATGCGAGTGACTGATGGACAAACGAGGAGTACCAAGTTGGAAAAATCCCATGTTCAGATACCTACAAAATACTCAAATAATTATAATCTATTGCCTGGTAATCATCTCCGAAAGAAACTGAAATTCACCGCTGGAGAAGTTCCAAGTAGCAACCACTGACGGTGAACGCAAACAAATAGTCGCAGGAAAGATTGTCTGGGTGAAAATCATACAAATCAGGGTCGTCTGTGAAAATCTGCAATGTTCCTCATTTTAGATATGTACTATAAAAGACATACAACATAAATAAGATGCAATCTTACTCAAATTCCTCGTCAGTCAATTGATATTTGATCAGGGAGGTGTCGAAAAACGTGATCCCAAAATGAATCCAAGCCATGAGCAAACCACCTGGACTGGGAAAGCTCAAGAGTGAGATTAAGTAACCCACAGCGCTTTTAAGAAGCAAAATGGAAATTGTGACTTATAGAGTGACCTCACCTGCGGCCACCAGCGGAAGGAATCGTTTTGTAGCTCGACAATCGCGATCTGACAACGCCAGAATCCGTCGCATAGAAAAATATTGTAGCCATTGAGAGGCCTTGTAATACAAAATGTTTTGAGTCTAAAGAACTCAACCCACCACCTCAATTAGACCCTACCTGAATCGCAGCATAACAAATCGTAGCAATGATTGCATCGTTTGTGGTGGTGAAGCCATCCTTCCGCTGGAATTCCACCTCAACCGATTGTAGAATCTGTAAGTAAACTATTGCCGTTTCAAGAAGATATTTCCATGTACGTTCCATAATTTGCTTCAGTTGCTCACCAACTTGACAAATAGAATAACGCAGCAACCGAACAGAATGGCGATGTCTCCTCTAGCGTGAGCTTTGTGATGAGCATCGAGTCTGTCATTGCTCAAGCCTCGAGCAAATATGTACAGCTGGAACAGGTAGGTATCGACAGAATCGCCGATTCATAGGGGAAACTCACGGCTGCGAAGAGAATGAGTTGAAGAATATCAGCAACGAGTGAGACGTAGTCATTCGTTAGCCAGTGAATTTCCATCAAGTGGTCGAAATCTGTGAAATGATGGAACTGTTAGCAATCGAACCATTCGCATTTCGAAGTGAAGCACAAGTATTAGGTTGTCGCATAAGTTCTTATACACGTGTTTGATCCTCTCCTATTTCGTTCGCATGGATGTTGGTATTACGTCATCACGTGTGCGTGACGTGTACATTATACTCTTTCATTACACTAGCTATCACACCGAGCTTGCATTTGCAGTACACAATGTCGCACAATTACCTCGTGACAAAACGTACCTGCGCCACTGTTTGGTTTTGCTCCACGATTTCGGCTGGAATGCAAAGGAAGCCCATACCAAGCTGGTGGATACATACGGTGAGGACGTCATCTCTTACATGACATGCAAGAATTGGTTCGCCAAATTCAAGAAAGGAGACTTTTCTCTCGAAGATGCTCCGAGGTCGGGTCGGCCGATGGACTTGATTGCGAAGTACTACGACCATCCACATGTGGAGGGGCCGTTAACCTCACCCACCGAAGAAATGGCGACCATGCTAATCTATAGATCATTCGGACATGCGCGTGGATAGAAGCCAAGCTCGGCAAAGCTAAAGCGTTCGATGGGTCCCACATGACTGTCCGCTTATGACCTCTCGAGGAGGGTGACCACCTGCACTTCTCTCCTCACTTTCCAAAAGAGGCTTCACTTTCTCAACTCGATGATCACTGGAGATGAGAAGTGGGTCCTCTACGATAACCCTGTGAGGAAGCGGCAGTGGCGTCGACAAAGGAGAACAGCCAGAAGCCACCCCAAAGGCCGACCTTCACCCCAAAAAGGTTCTCCTGTCCTGTTGGTGGTCCAGAAGAGGCATGGAGTACTGGGAGCTGCTGGAGAAGGGACAGACGATTGACGCTTCCACATACGTGACCCAGCTGCGGAAATTGAAAGATCACGTCGACCGTACTCGTGGAAGGAATCGAAATCTACTTCCACCTACTACAACGCGCTCACTCCAAAGCGCGACCCGATATGCACTCAGCCCAGGCCAGAGCTGAGCACGACGGATGGCTGATGGTCGCCCACCCTCCCTACAGCCCTGACCTCGCTCCTTCTGACTACTGGCTGTTCAGCCACCTGCAGCGCTATCTGGACGGAAAAAAGTTCGAAACAAAGGATCAGGTCAGAAAGGCGCTCGACGACTTCTTCAAGTCCCAGCCTCCGTCGTTCTGGAAGGATGGAATCGACAAGCTGCCTGAGCGCTGGCGTCGAGTAGTGAATGGTGATGGTGCATACCTCTAATCTCCAGGCTGGTTCGTTTTTGAGATACTTACAAAAAGTCGTGCTATTAAGTAACTTTATGCGACAAACCTATAAAAACGAAGAAGTGTTAATGCCCTGCCTGCGCGATAATCGACCAAAAACCAAAACTCTTCGAAACTATCTTATTAATGAGACTTCTCAGAAAGACTCAGGTAACTGTTGCTGTGTTTAGAAGCTTATGCAAATGAATTCGCCTCATATGTCAGGAAATACACCCATAATACCCTGATGATGCGGATACCCTCGCTGCCAGTCATTGAACTGAACCATGTGTGCCTCAAGTTTTTGTGAGGAGATTCCATTTGAGGAGCTGTGATAAGCTGTCTTTGGCCAACACCAGAACAAGATGGCAACTTTCCCCACTTTGTATATCCGTGAGTAACCCTATGCCATCTTCAAATGCCACGCCTGCTCTGTCTCAGGGATAAGGAGTGTATGGTAATGAAAAGGTAGCAAGTGGTCCGTCAGTTCCCTTGGTACATAAAAATAGCAAGAATCGGTCCTCATGAGTACAGTGCCATGTACTAGTGGTCATGCTCTGCACTTCTGGATCTCGCTCATTCCTGCTAGCCGCCACCGATAAGCAACACGCCCAACCATAGCCGACCGCAGCTGGTCCGCCGCTCTAACTTCTGCGGTTCTTCTCTAAATCTGAGCGCGTCTTCTTGGTCTTGGTAGCTACGCACCGTGCTCCACATCAAGGATAGCGGCAGCTGAGAACGACGGCATCCTGCATCACCACCCTCAGTCCCGTTTCCGTATATTTTTGAGCGGAGAAAATGGCTTGATATCTTGCACTTGGCAAGAATCGTTCTCGGAGGTGAGTGTCAAGTTTGTCTCAGATCATGGTGGGTGACATAAGTCGACTCGAGTGAATCCAAGGCACATCATCGCTGGGGATTCCCCAACAGGGGCTCATATTTGGTCGCTGGGAAAGGAGGGTCGTATTTGAGCTGAGAAAATTTTTTGGTAATTGATTTTTCTTGTTTCAGGGACGCTGTGAAGAGGGGAGGGGTCGTATTTGCTCGTTCTTGGGAGGGGACGTATTCTCCCTCCCACCTTCTTAGAGAGCTTGTTGACTTTTCGTGGTTTTTCTCTCTTCACATGTGCTATCTCGTCAGCAGAATTTGGGGCAAAAGTAGAAACCTTTGGCAAAGTCCGAAAAAAGTGGTAGGAAGTGTGGGAAAATCTAAGAAATGGTAGAGAAGGGGTCGTATTTTCCTCGCGGTTTTTCCCATTTTACATGTGCTATTTATGCCCTCCTCCGCTCGACAGCTCGATGAGAGGGGAACCAGGGGAGGGGGGCGTACCAGCCCTCTGGAAAAAAAGGGAGGGTCGCACAGACTTGACCAAAATCTCCAATCAGTGATGTGCCCTGTGTGAATCACCCTACATTCTAGCCCTCCTGGGTCAGCTAGGTGACACCAAACTTGTTGGAAGAATCTGAAATGGACATCGGCCGGGCTTCTCGAGCCATTCTGTAGGCAGCTCCTTATACAAGACGAGCCGTGGGAGCAGATGGTTTTGTTCTAACCTTTCACACTCAGCAAGGCAGAAGGTTAAAACCGGTACTTAATCATGCGTGAAAAACCTGATGTAATTTATTTATAGATCTGTCAACACCCTTTCAGCTATTCTCATCAATGCTAATCATAAGGGGTCAAGGGTGATGATTATTGGCACTCACTACATATTCTTTCATTGTTCAAGATCGCGGATAAGTCCGAAAGCACGATAGCACAATACCCCGCCGCTTATACCAAGACAGTAACTGGCCTTGTCATAAGTCTGATAGATGTGTAGTCTAGTAGTCACTCAAGCGACGCTACAGACATCGCTATGGATATCATAATTGGAAGGGAGGGGGTGTGGGAAGGCCGGTCTCTGCACCTGCCTGTGCCCTCTCCTC